AATAGACTTAATATATAACATTTGACACTGGCTCATTTAAAGAGGACAAAGGACGAAAGAATAAGGAAGAAAGAATATGTCTAATAAACTTCAACAAAAGATAGCTATAATTCAGAGAAACACAGGTTTATTTTTTTTTCTATTGACCATTTAAAAATAAATATATTCTATATCTAAAGAGACTGCCCTTAAAATGTATTTCTTTTATGGAATTTTGCAAGCACACACAGAAGTAAGATGTAGTATAATAAACTGGGTCCCTCACACTTCTTGAGAATTACCAGCACGTTGCCTCTTTATTTTACCACTTCACGCTCTTGACTGATTTATGGCAAATTCCTAACTTAATCATTTCATCTGTCAATTTCAGTTGACAAGCATGAAGTCTCCTTTTAAAAGTGCATGCCGTGATCATCCCTCTAGAAAAAGCAGCATCTTTGTATATCATCAACTAGCCACTGGCATTTAGGCTTCCCTTCCTGTCTAACCATCATCTTCTTCTTTAAAAAATAGGTTAGGGATGCCTGGGCAGCTTAGTTGGTTGAGCATCTGACTCTTCATTTCAGCTCAGGTCATGATCCCAGGGTTGTGGCATTGGTTGGGTTCCACACTGAGCATGGAGCCTACTTCAGCTTCTCCCTCTCTCTCCCTCTGCCCCCCTCCTGCTCTCTCTCTCTCTCTCTCTCTCTCTCTCTCTCAAAACCTAAAAATTAAAAAAAAAAAGTTTAAATCAGGGTCCAAACAGATCTATAAATTATGATATTGTGATTTATCAATGTCTTTTAAATCTCTTAATCTAGATTTTAGGTTTCCTCTTCCATCTATTTTTTTGTTTGTTTGTTTTACTCTGTGCCTTCTGTGCATGTAAGTGTCCATGTGGCCAAAGCCAGTTTTTATCCTACACAGCAGTGGCTCTCCTACTCTTTGGTCTCAAGTCTCCTTGACACTCTTAAGAATGATTGAAAACCCCAAGGAGCTGTTGTTTGTATGGGTTGTATCTATTAATATCTACTGTATTCAAAATTAAAATAGATAATTTAAACTATGTATTTACTTTTAAAAATAACGGTAGCAGACTGATTATATTAACATGTGTCCGCACAATTTAAATGAAATGTAATCATAGTTTCCAAAATTAAAAAATGAGAGAAATGGCAGTGTTTTACATTTTTGCACATCTCTTTAATGCCTGGCTTAATAGAAGAGAGCTGGATTTTCAACGTTTATTTATTTTTGGGACAGAGAGAGACAGAGCATGATCGGGGGAGGGGCAGAGAGAGAGGGAGACACAGAATCGGAAACAGGCTCCAGGCTCTGAGCCATCAGCCAGAGCCCGACGCGGGGCTCGAACTCACGGACTGCGAGATCGTGACCTGGCTGAAGTCGGACGCTTAACCGACTGCGCCACCCAGGCGCCCCGAGAGCTGGATTTTCATATCTGCTCCTGCATTCAGTCTGTTGCAGTATGTTGTTTCGGTTGAAGTGTGTGAAGGAAATCTGCTTCACACAGATGTGAGTTTGGAAAAGGGGAGGAGTATTTTTTTTTCATTTAATGGTGGACATTCTTCTATGATACTACACCAAAAGTTGACAAGTGGTAGTTTCTTAAAGGTAAGTTGCAGTGGGCAGTCTGAAACCCTAACAATGAACTTTTCATACTGTGTTATATTACAATCCATCGGTCTGTCACGTACTTTGATTGGATCCTTTACTCATGCATAATTTTGTGACGTCAAGCATTGGTTATTTGGAAAATACTGCATCACTGAATTATGCAAATCTCCCAGATGTTGACATAGGTCAAATATAAAATATTTAAAAAATCCCGCTCATCAATATCACCACCCATCTCCTTAGAAAATATGTGGCTACTGGGAAGCTCTCAGGCTCATGGTGGTGGATACACGTTTTCTGGAATCATGATTATCCCTTGAATGTTCAAATGGATCTTCAGCAACAAATGCTGTCAGTGTTTTCCTTGATGTCAACAGGCTCGCTTCGTTTGTTCTTGACAAAATATTTGCCACATAGCCAAACCCGAAGAAACGTAGTTTGTTAAATAAAAATGCGCTCCATGAAAAAAGCCGCTTGTTCAACTTGCATCTCAGACAGTTCACAGGTGCTTTCCCTTGGTACTCTGACGCACCAGAGCGCTTTATGGGTGCTTTCTATTTCACCACACAGAATGTTAAAAAGATACGTATTCAAATATCCAGACTTAATGAAAGTTACTATTTTGCTTCATCAAGGACGCTGTTTAGCGAAACCAGCATTTGTTTACCATCAGTACCTGGCGGTAAAGGCTGCAATGACTGCTGCCTACTTGGGAGCCGCTACTCCGACACTTTCACCCACTGTTGCTTTTGTACCATCCACGCAGATGTCAGCATAGCGCAGAAGGCAGATAATGTGTTAGTATTTTTATGAAAATGATTCTGACTTCTTGGACCTTCTGAAAAGGTCTCAGGTCTTCCCAGGGTCTGTGGACCACACTTTGAGGAATGTTGCTGAAGAGTTTCTGACAGTCTGAATTTTACTTCTTATATTAAAAAAAATTTTTTTTTATGTTTGTTTATGTTTGAGAGAGAGAGAGGGAGTGCAAGTGGCAGGAGGGGCAAAGAGAGAGGGAGACACAGAATTGGAAGCAGGCTCCAGGCTCTGAGCTGTCCGCACAGAGCCTGACATGGGGCTGGAACTCACGAACCATGAGATCATGACCTGAGCCAAAGTCGGATGCTTTACTGACTGAACCACCCAGGTGCCCCATTTTGTATATTTTTATGGTGTGATTTTTACGTGTTCGTTTGTCTCAGGTATTTCCTGCAAATGGACTTGATCAGATTAGGTTTGATTTTGTTTTTTCATGGCAAGACTACTTCCTAGATGGTGTTGGGTTTGTATTCTTAGTAGTCATTGATAGCCATTGCCTGCAGCCATTAATGTATCAAGGATTGAAAATGGTAATGTTTCAGTTCTGTCATTCCTTCTTTATTTATTAGCAGGATTCTTTCTAAACTGAAACTTCCTCTCGCCATTGATTTGCATTACCCTGGAATACAGTTTGCATGGATCTCATGCAATATAGACAGGATAAATCCTTGTTTCTTTTTCCAGATAATGAGTTGGTTGCTGTGTAGTCTTAAAAGGTGATCAGTAGGTGTTCTTGGTTTGTTTGTTTGTTTTCAATGTCAGTATGAACTCGCAGATTTAAACTTATTTGATGTGTTTCAATTCATGCAGCTACTATTCTTTGGCCAGCAGGAGCCTCTTCAGATTGGTTTCTAAGTTCCTTTGATATGATCTCTGTTGTCTTTGATAGCTTCCTTGCTTTTTTTTTTTTTTTTTTTTTTTTTTTTGACAAGAAGTTCCAGACTCATCTTGCACATTTCCTGCCACTGAACAGAAATCAGCCCCTTCTCTGGGAAGACCTCGGAGAAGTGCTATTTAGAGCCCACAGTCTGAGCACTTGGCTGCTCATAACTGTTGATTGGTGGTTGTTTCTAGATTCTGTCAGTGGGCAAGGCTAGAAAATATGCAAATTTTTTTAAGATTAAAATGCATTAAAAGATTAAAATTTAGGGACACCTGGGTGGCTCAATTGGTTAAGGGTCCAACTTTGGCTCAGGTCATGATCTCATGGTTTGTGAGCTTGAGCTCCACATTGGGTCTCAGCTCTGAGCGCAGAGCCTGCTTCGGAGCCTCAGTCTCCATCTCTCTCTGTTCCTCCACCAGTTGCGTGCAAAAATCTGTAAAAAAAATTTTT